GTAACCATACAGATATACTAACAATTTAATAGATATGTTATATCCCGATAAGAATAATGAATGGTAATTTTTAGGATCCATTTATGGACCAATACTATGAGTATTGTAGGAAGCAGTTCCCTACAGGTTCAGTTCTAAGCTAGTCCCTAGATTGTCGAATACAGAGTCTTGGTTCAGCCAAAGTCAGAACAAGTAAGCAATTTGGCTCGATAAACTTCATCTGTTTCTAAAACGCAAATTAACACTGTTAGTGTACAAAACAAAAGTACAGACTATAAACACAGGGAAAAAATAGAGACATAAATAACGTACCGAACCGTAGCTAGAGAGTAGGAAAAATGAGTCAACAAGGCAAATATTGTTTTATAATGAACATCGAATTGTGATTGGTGAATAAATAAGACACAGTCATACAAGGTCAAGAAAAGTTAGTGTAGTGGTGGGTGTTTCACTTTACTGTTGGTGGGTTCGTTTATCGATCACATTTTACAAGTATATTTTTATCGTGTAATTGCCACGTAACTAAACTGTTCATATGCATGTCCCTGTTATTATGAGTTTTATTTTGACCTATGAATTATTATTATACGATTTACCATTCTTGAATTATTCCTTGTCTGTTAATCACTACCTCCCACATTCACAGCCACATTTGACCAAATCTTGTACAAATGTTATTTTCTATTTTATGGTACGTTGTGGCCTGTTTGATTGTTATATAAACCCACTATGTTTGAAATAAATGATTCATATTGCCGAGGCTGAGGTTGTTGTTCCTGACTTAACTGACTGGGCTAGACAGGGAGCGAGACCAATCAGGACTCTAGGCTGCTCTCATGTGTTTTATGCGTCACTGGTTAGATCGATAAGTCACTGCTCTCTGACTGGCGGTATCGTTGCGTTATACAATAAACAGGGCAAACAAGTTCACAAGTTATAACAAGATAGATTTGTGTGTTGTCACTGTACACTGAGTTCGTAACAGCTTAGATTGATTGGTTAAGAGTTGACCTCAAACAATTAAGTATATGTCAAGACAATAGAGCTCAGTCATTCACTCACTTCCTTAATTTTTAAAATAGTAATAATTTATTCTCAAATAACAGTTTGTTACATGTGGCATGTCAGTTTACAGGCAAGATCAAATTGTTACAAATGACTCAATTTTCACTGTAGTAAGTTACTTAGTTGCATTGATATTCTGCAAGATATGAATTTAGATGGTTTTAGTCAGTATCACAGTTGGCGCGCTTTATGAAGGTTGCGTTGCGACGTGCAAATGATGGTCGAGAATAGATTCACTTGACGTTGGGAGCTTCTAGAGATCGCAACCTTATATCCCTCTAGAATATCTGAGGCTTTAATGATGGTGCAGGACGAAGTCACATTTCCATATTTGTTTTCAGTGGCATATCTCAAGGGGGCTGAAAAAGGGTGCAAGTATAAGGAACGAAGAGAAGTAGAGCAGACAATGTTCATGAAGGAGTAGCTAAGGTATGACTACTTCGTCTACTCAATTGTTTATTAAAGTATTCATTAAGCACGAGCATTCCAATAGGTTAAGCAAAATAAGTGTAAACAAGTCATTAGTGGTTAAACAACTGACAAATGGAGGTGGTTCAGAAAGAAGCTGAGAGTATGGGATTATGTGTAGTTATAAAATATAGTGCTAAAAACAGTATTATGATACACGAATAACTGTCTCCTTTTTAGTCGAAGCTATTTGAGCCCTTCTTTAGATTTCATAGGGTCTTGAGTAGGCTTCGTTTTTAGAGAATTGTGTATTTTGCTTGTAATAGGATTACTTGGTAGGAAGTGAAACCAATCCAACGTTCTAAACACGATTTAATGAGGCACTTTGCATAATGAATCAGCATCAATACAACTAGTTCGTGACATTCCACTAGACCATAAGGAGCCGTAATTAAACAAAATGTTCTGCCCTACAGACATGGGTGGATTGAAGTTGTCTCCCCCCCATCATGTTTGCTGGTCAGTAACACCACCCACCCTCCTTTTGTGATGTTAGGCTCTCTTACGTTTGTGGTAAGTATGAATCTTGCTTTAATCAAAGTCCATAGTTGGAATACACTATCTCTACTAGTTCCATGTCACAAGCAAATCAGATGGTTAAAGCATTTGTATTATGGGTAAGACGTTCATTTAGTATACTACACTGTTGTGAAGATAACTAATGGTGAAAGGAGAAAAACCGGTTAGATTATATGTGGTTTAAAGATGGTAAGTATTAACAGCAAATTAAAGGATATGAAAGCGTATAAAATTATGAAATTTTCAGGGTAGGAAAAATAAAAAACTGAGCAACTCAAAAAACTTTAGGACATTTTGAGCTCCGTATGATCGGCCTTGGTAGATCAGCATCCACAAGATTAGTGAGTTATCTGTCTACTTGCGATAGAAAAAAGGAAGTGACACTAGCGAACAATGATGTGTCTAACCGTTAGAGAGATTTGGGAACTGAAAGTGAGGGTTAGGAGCATAATGCCATGAGAAGATAAACCACATGTTCTGTAATTTAGTTATATTCATGTTAATGACGATGGGGTTCGTTATATTGTTGTTCCGTTTAGATATTAGGTGGTCCATAATAAAGTGCCCCACTAGTGGGCCGGAGTTCAAGGAATAGTTGAAGCTCTTTAGAGTCTAGAAACAGGCTTATTAGCCTTTTTAACTTTGCAAAAGTGTCACAGTTACGGATAGGTATTGGCAACCTGTCCCACAGTAAACTATACCGCACTGGAAAAAACCTAAAACGCGTTTGCTTTTAGCGTTTTACGGGAAGTAGTGTGTATGCGCTGTTTCTCAGTTTATAATCTGGGTCATGGATCATAGTTGGGCAGGAGGTTAGAAATGAGAGTCTATATATTGCTTTGTAGAGAAATGTTAAATTGTTCTTTAGCTTACGGTGCCATAAAGGTTCTAAAGAGAGGTGCTTACATCTATATGTGTAATCGAGATTGGAGTTGCTTCCTAGTAGTCCAGGTGTGAAGCGTCTTTGAACGTCTTCTATTCTTATCTTGTCTGTGGTATTCCTATTAAAGAAGATAAAATAGCAGTATTCAAGAGAAGGTCGTACACATATTTTGTAGAGAGTAAGCTCAGCCTCCATTGTGAAGAAAGTCCTCATTATGAAGCCAATTTACCATCTACATCTAGAAATAACGGAGGAGGCATGTTCGAGTGTCTAGATTCTACTTTTATTTAAGTAGATTTGCAGTTCATAAGGATGCTTTTCAAAGTGAATGATCCCGCTCTTGTTGAGGTTGAAAGGTAATTTCCATTTTTCACTCTAGATAATTAAGTTATTGAGGTCATTTTGGATGAGGGATACACTTTCACTGAGAGTATCAGGCTTATAGCTGTGTACTATTTTAAGATCATCAGATTATAAATATGGTTTCCTAAATATCACGATGTTACATATATCGTTTATATACATAAGAAACAGGAGTGGACCTAATACGCTTCCCTAGATGACTCCATTGGTTATTGGCCTAGGTGATGAGAGACAGTCATTGTACCTGAACATCAGTTTGCGTTCTGTTAGGAAGGAAGCAAATCACGAGTATAGTAGGTTGTTGATTCCGAAGGACTTTGGTTTGACGAGAAGCTTTATATGTGGGACGTTATCAAAGGCTTTCCTAAACTCTAAGAATAGGAGTGATACAAGGAGTCCGTTGTCTCGTTTCAGAGTTATATCAATCAGGTAGTCTACTAGGCATGTATCACAAGGTTGACTGGAATTACTTCCACAAGTACCTATGAAGCACTAGTTCGAGAAGTTTCTTTACTGCAAACAATATCGATACACTAACCAATATATTTTATCTCAACATCAGAAGTATCATCAACAAAATCTCACTTTTAGTATACTGGAAACCTACGTTCTCTAAAGATCTCCATATACCGGTCGGTACACGAAAACGTCTTAAAAGACATTGTACTCGATTCCACAAATTTAAGGACATTTCCTCTTTAGTAACGATGGCAGAAATATTTGAACGAACAGAGGCAATACGTGCACAAAAAGCAGTTTCACAGGAAAAACGTGCAGTCGAACTTAGTCTTTGTCAGGTATTTGTTGATTTCCATTGGGCGGTAGTCTAGTCACTCGAATGCATTAATTCTAGTCAATGTGATAATTATTTATGGATTTATATGTCTTGTAGTCGAGTGAGTGCGTTCGTTTCAGTTCAATAGGGTACTTATCACATTAACAGTTAGAAGTTTAGTTGGTCGAAATGTGGAAATGATAAAATGATAATGACAATAATGAATATATAGTTTAACTGGTAATGTGCTAGAAGATGGAATAAGAGCGGAGATTATAGTAAGGGAGATAGAAAGTAGTTACTGAATGTGCGGTAACGTATTCGTGATAATTTAAGAAACGTAAATCAGGCACAGCTGGCTTACGATGGAAATGGTAATCCATTTTCGAGTACGTGTTTGTTAAGTCTCTTCTCATGGTAATCCATTAAGAAAGCTGTGGTCACTTCGGATGAAGAATATCCCATATAGAGGGAACTCTTAGTGATAAAAAGTGTTGGAGCATCTGTATGAGTGCTCTTTGATGTGCAATCTTTCGATGTTTGCCTCTAGGATCGTGGTGGTGATTTGGTAGTATACCAGTGTTGGAGTGACTCGGCGTACTTAATATATGTTATGTCATTATCAGACCACCTCATATTACCCTCTGGCTCAACGATAATAATCCTAAATGTTAGATTCTGTTAGAAATATTTATGTTCTATCACAGTCACTCACTTGGTTGCTCTCTCTGTACTAGATATCTTTGGAAGAGAGGGGGGAGCAACGACATGATGTCCTCTTGTGTATATTTTTAGGACAACTAGGAACATTTACGCCTTAGATTCAATTATTTAAAACACATATCTTCAGTAAATAAAATAATTCTATTCTCGTCGCCTTCCGTGATCTTCCACTAACTTTGTTTAAGCTCTTCAAACACTTCATACCTCTAACGGTTGCTCGTTTCAAACGGTCCGTAAATTTTTGATTTACATCGAGTTTTCTGGATTAAATACCGCGATTATTTATTTTTATGAGACCAGTTAGTTTTCAAATCTGTCTTAAGCAGTATCGAAGCGCATTGGTTTGTACACTATCCTAGATTGTTTGTTGCCGAAAGCCTCATTTATTCGTAATTTGGAATATCAGATCACTAGTTAAACGTATAGAATTGAAGCTAATAAGAGAATAGGAACAATTAGCGATAGAAACATTGAGTCCTGACATAAATGGTCCAATATATCACCACAAATACTGCGAACAATAACGGAGATATAATATTGTATTATTTGCCGATGGAACTACCGCTTATAATACATCTAGTATTTCCACCTCAGAAATGTCTCGGTACCGTGAGTTTTTGTAAAAATCAGGCTACAAGATGAGGTTTTTATCTGTTCAAGCTTCACTTAGACAATTATACAGGTAACTTGAGTTACAACTTCTAAAAATCACTGTCTTTAATTACTTTAAATATACAGCTCTGTGGCACTGATTGAAAGTATTTTTAGTTCATCAGAGTAAAGACAGTAATGCGGCTTCTGCTTCTCCTAGCGATTAGTTCTGGTTAGATTCGTTTATGAATATTTAGAAAAAATTTTCGGTATCATTCCCTTGAGCAAGGATTTACAGATGTTAGCTTCACTGTGTAAATAATTGAATTTTGTTTGACATTTATCCAGTGATTATCTCTTGTACTCTGTAAGATAGCTGTGGTAACTTTTATTTCTAAGGTGATTAAATGACACTCCTTGTTCATAGTCTAGTCGTTATTTAAGGTTATGAAATTCAGTTTAAAATCCTCTTCAATTCGACTAACAATTTATTATATAGAGGCTTTCATATAGAAAGTGGATATTTCAGGGAAATATCTCGTTACATGTCGCATTTCGGATACAGTGTTATGTACGTATAGTACTCTTCTTCCAACTTTCGTTTGTATTTATCATTACCAAGGTTTGATTTGATAATTTCGAATACATTGAGCATTGGGTAGATAGTTATAACTAAGTAAGATATTTTGTTTGTATGTATTTAAGTTTCTTATTTAACTTATCTAACAGAAAAACGGTATCATTCTCGTCAGTAATAATTATTCTGTATCTTTGCACATATATATTTCTGTGTTTATATGATTGATCATGTATTAAAACCCAATCGTAAACTTCTCTTTTTTAAATGTTGGTTACTCTAAACGCTTGATTACTCATCCGTCTTTCTCAAACTCGTTTAACACTCCTAAACGTCAATTACCTTTTACGTTATGGGCTTTTCAATCATCTCATTAGTTCTGTATTGAAATAAATTGTTGCGATGACTTTATATTTGCCTTCTGAAGACATTTCAAGACAAAACTAATGGTCGTATCAGTTGTATACAACTTTCAAAAACTCTGTTTAGCAATTACGAAACCTGTAGATCTTTTTTGTTGAATTTCAATGTGCTTCCATTTTGTTGTGTAAAACTTACTAAATAATTTCGATCTAACTGATTAAAAACTTAAGTTCGTATCTTCAGCATTCTCAGAAAATTTTTCTGGGTTTTATCTTTAGACAGTTCTATATAATTTGACTAAAGTCACGAAATATTTGTGTAGTGTGGAATGTTTTGCATCTAGTTAGCCTATATAGCTTTACGCCAACATCAAATAGAAACTGTTATGACTATGTCCGGCTTTTTACCACGTGATTTATCCACCAATCAAAATACACCTTAAACAATCTTAGTACTGTGCTAAACCAATGACATTCGACCGGTATGGGCAGCCCAGCGTCCTTATTGGTCCTATGTCTGCTTAACCCGTTCGCTTAAGTCCAGAACACCAATATCAGCTTCCACTATGCGAATCTAATAATTTATTTCAGACACCGCGTTTATATATCGAACAAAACAGACCGCAACGCACCATAAAATAGGAAATAACGTTTGTACACAATAAAGCCAAAAAGTGACTGTGAACGTGGGAGGCAGTAGTCAATCAACTGAACATAGCTTAAGAACAGTAAATCGTACAATAATAAATTATAAGTCAAAATAGAGCTTATAACAAGGGGAATATAGATATACATAATCTAGTTATCAAATATTTATACCATGAGAATATATAAATAATAATAGTCCATTAATAAGTCTCAGACGTTACTCGAAATTTAATCTTCACTAGGATATAACAGAAACATGTGAGTATCTCTAGAAATCTGTCAACAAAAGGATGCAAAAGTAATGTACACGCAGTTATGTTTTGTAGGAATCTTGTTATCCACAATTTTCCAGCACATCAATGTCTTTCTTACAAAGTGTAACTTAAAGCCACTTAGTGAAGTAGAAAGATTTTATGTACCATAACCAGACATTTTGAATATGAATGGTCTCACTTATTGATTTCTTATTCATGAGGTACAGTGCCTTGATTGTAAAGATACAGTGTTCGCCTTCAGTTCTAAAGTGTTCGTTTTCACCAGGCTAAATTCGAAACTCATTTTTACTTCAAGTAACTTTTTACGATGGTCTCAGTTTTTATTTGTATCTCGTATTTTAAAATACTACAGTTTTATTATACCGTCCATGCAGACATAGAACAGATGAATTATATACTGTTACGAAATAAATTACGTGAATTTTATTATTATGTCCAAAAACATATTATCCTTAAAGACATTATGTGGAAACAACAAAATACTTATTCACTAATATCTATTTGGCTGTTGTCATGGTCACTTTGTTAGGTTCAAATGATGTTAGGGAGACTAAATAATAGACGTTTTCTATAGAAAAACTGTGATTACAGTTAAAGAGAGCACTTTCCACTTTCGGCATCGTCTGAAATCTATGCAAAAATTAAGAAGTGTATATCGCTTCGTTATAAACTCGATATCTCCAAACATCTCTGAGAGATGTATTTTACCTGCTGTTTAAGACAATGTAAGGCTGACGAAAAATCTGGGTTTATCTAGCTTATTTCTGTCTCAGCAAATATGTTTTTAATTAAGGTTCTAACTTATACATTGCACAAATGAACTGATTCTTCACCCAGATGAGACAATGTGCTATGAAAGTGTTTCTACCAAGGTTTACGAACATGAATTATTGTGTTGATATGTATTTGTAATTAGGTTGTTTACATTACTTAATTATCACTAGTATTTTTGTACTCTTATGAATACTTCTTTATGTATGATGAAAGGCCATTTGCTTTAATTTTCTAAACTTCACACATCCTCATAATTTAAATGAAAAGTTATTTTATCGACTGAAACTGTTCGTTAATACACTACTCCTTTAATGTCCTATTTTGACCATCACATAATTATCAATTAAGTACAATCCAAACCACAATTTTCTGTAACATAATGAATAACATATTTCAAGCTACTGTGACACAGTAACTTCGTTGGCCACGTTTCTTTAATATTCTTCCTTTTATATCATTTAGTTTTATTTTTCAGTCTTTAAATTCTATCCGACGTATTGTAGTACATGTTTAGCGTATAACTGAATATGGTTGTAAGGTGATAAAAAACTGAGCATCTCTGGTTTGTGAACTACTTAATCTATTCAACAAACTTTCAGTAACTAAAGTGATTACTTATTTCACAACAAGTATTATGTATGATTTGTAATAGTTTTCTGCTAATCTTCTACCTTTTCAAAAACATTAACATTATAATTTTTGGAATATTTAAGTCAACTTGGTTCATAGAGCTTCACAAACTAACTTGAAATTTCTGATAGCAGGATAGATTAAATAAAGCCAAAATTTGCATGAGATGTCCGCTGTTAGTGTTATGATATACTTTTTTGGCGCTACATCAGAAACTCCAACTTCAGAAAAGCAAAGTGGTTATGCCTGAGGACTGAAGAATGAATCTAGTTTATTACTTTTTTTTTGTTACAATCTATATTTAATGTGAAACAATCATAAACTTTAGATATATTATAAGGTGACCTATATATATATATATATATATATATATATATATATATATATATATATCAGAGTTCTGAATAAATAAAGGCAATTTATTTCTTAATATTCCGCCACATAAACATCTTTATTATTCGGACTAACACTTAAATTTAAAATACGTGAAATATCAGAGAACTAGATAGTTTTCCTGAGATTGATATAACTTGAATATTTCAAGAGACGAACTGGGATCAGGTGAGGAACTACTTGGGTCCAAAGATCACCGAGAAGCTTTTTTGATTTGATTTGTGATTTAAGTTCTATCATCTTAATTGATTCACTACTCAGTACTATTTTGATCGATGAGCTACTAATCCAGTCACAGTTAGATTGACTTCAGGAATTCTGAGTCCTCACTAAAAATTCGAAGGCTTCATGTTATTTGTAAAACGATAGAAAAAGAATTACACAGCATATGCGCAAAAGAGTCATTTGAGCTGGATAAGTTTATTTTACAATAATGATCATGATATCTAAACTTACAATCTGTTGAAGTAAGTGAGAACAGTTATTAGTTTGAAATCAGATTAATATCGGTATGTTACCGTATGAGAATTTCTAGCAAACAAAAACGTAGCAACAATTTAGTTCAAAATTAATAATTTCAGGTTTCCGTATACTGGTAATCCCAAGATTACTTGATGGCAATTTTTTCAGGAATCTATAATGTACTTTTTCCATATAATTTCTGCTTCACTTAAGGCGTTAAAAAATAATTCACGACCGATGATTATTTTTATCTCATTAAATCTATGGCAATTAAAATAAAACTAGAATTCATTTTTGTCCTATAAATCTTTTCATTGCTATCATGTTGAAAACCATTTAAAATGACAGACTTGGACGATTTCTAGAAAATAACTCGACATCCACTCGATATTTCATTAATCAGTTTGTCAGATAACTAGGAAAGCGGAATTTCATCCGACTCTGTGATAGTACTGGTAATCAAATCTTGTTTTTTTAATATTATGAATATAATTCTAGGTATTTAGTTTTAGATCCAGTAAATGTATTTTTATCAAAGATCAGTGTGTTGATGATGTTAAACATTACTAAAAAATTGTACAGTAGTGACTAATATGTGATGATAAACTTGCGAAAATTTGATTCAACGTAAGTTATTTTAGAACTGATATCTACTGTGATTGATTAAAGTGATAAGTAATAAATGCCGTCAAGGCTTTGTGAGTATTATTGTCGATGTAAGTCCGTTACGAAATTTATAGACAAAATGCATTATTTTACTTTTCGAATGTATAAACAAACGCTTTCTAATACTATTAGTCATTTGCATGATTCGAAAATCATCTAGAAATTAATTTTTGTATTAATAGTTATTTTACATCTGAATATCATGTCATTGACTGGTTAATTACATTATTATCAATGATTCTTGTTTTTTTTAATACAACAGATGCTTGACTAATGAGTAATGATACGTATATAGTTTCATATATTTTAGTATTCGGAACAAAATATTTTTAAAGCACCATTTGTTAACTAGCATATAGTATAAAAAACATGATGCTCTAACTGACCTATAAAACTGTTAGTTTTCAATATAACTAAACTCTCGAAAAACTAGTTTAGTGTAGATAATAAATTAAACAATATAGCTCCTTTTAAAATAAATCTAGAGTCTGATTGAGGATTGCGAAGGCCGTAAAGATGACACATTTAATGACAGCTATTCATCTATTTTAGTAAAACAAATCAGATGCGTATGGTCCGTCAAACGTTTAGGTCACCGATCTGCTTCCCAGATGTTTACTCATGAACTAAATTTAAGGAAATCTTCATAGCAAAATATATCAACGTTTGAAATGAGAAGCAGATAGTATACATCATAGATAGCATCCGTTTGACCACATTTTAGTTAAGGTAATCCTTTACCTGTATGACAAGTATATTTCAAATTCTCTTCCTCATAACCCTATTCTCAGTAATCAGGGAAATATGAAAACTTCAATAAACTGATTAAACAAATTTATTTGTACACCGTTAAAAGTTTATCTAATTCAGGCTTAAAACGGAGGATGACACACATTGTTAAGATGTTGTCAGTTTATGCATAGCATCTTAATTGTAGCGGTTCTACTCAATTTTGCTTGTACGATATAAAAGTTTATCTGTTTGGGAAACCCTCTTCTCTTGTTACTTAGTGGTAATTACAGATGTTATGTGAAAGTAAAACATATCTCAAACTGGTTTAGCAACTACACTGATCACAGTTTGTCCCGTATCACTTGTATTACGACTATATAAATCGTTCTTTGAGGTACGTTGTATGAATGAGAAGTGGTACCGGCCGACTTCCTAAACCAAAGTTGGTAGACGTGTAACATAGTGCTTGAAACTTGACTAATTCAATCTCTATTCCACCGCTTTTAAACATTAGGTTAGTCCACACTGTATTGCCTTTCTCGTTCGACAGCTTGATAGAAGTTAGTTCTACTTGATACTGGTTAGTTTTCATGACGTTAGCACAACTTAGTAAGGTGATTCAATATAATTAACTCGTGACAGTTTGATAATAATAATAATAATAATAATAATAATAATAATAATAACAGTAATAATAATACTGTGCCTCTCATATTTGAAATCACTATCACTTGGTTATTGAATATGAATCGATCAAAGATGAATTTACATCAAAAATGATTTATTACCAGTAATTTTATGATAGGTTACGCGTTACAATTTTTCGAACTCGTAGAATCCGTGTTCTGAATAGTGTAGGATGTGAACATTGATAACAAGGGTTCAAGAATATGATTCATTCATTAGTTGGTGTTACATAGAATTTGAGACTAGTTTTCAAGTATGCTCATCACTCTCTAAATACCTTATCATCAAAGTCACTCACATGTTTTATAAAACACCATAGGATGGTAATTTTTCCTTCGAATATTACATGTTCAAACTATCTGACCTTCTTCCTAATTGGAAGACTTAATTTTCGTTATAGAAATTCTGACTGAAGTTGGGCGGAGACAAGATCAGAGTGATTTAAGCATTTAACGACTTCTATCATTTGCTTATTCCAACTTGAATAATCATACACTTTTCACCCAGAAATACAATTTACAGTTATTTGCTATAATTATTGACATTATTAATATTAATCGTATTATATGCAATTGTGACTTTATTTTCAGTTTCCTAAGATAATAATAATATAAACCAATTATTATCACAATCAGCATTGAATATTCAACAATTAGAGCGAACAAGTAATTATTTATGAGTAAAAATTGACCAAGATAACTGTATGCACATACATATTTAATAGGTTATTAAGGTATGTTTTCCTAATAATTTTCTCTGTAATTATTCAGTTCATTCATGAATTCCCATTTAATTGCAGTAATATCTCTCTCTGTTGTTGTTGTTGTATTTTTTTGACGGAAACCTTTCATCATAAAACAGGTGTATTCGAACGGTAATCTAAATATCTGCAGATACGATGCAGATATGAACGGTTTGATTCAATGGTTGATTTCGTAACAGTATTTTGATGAGAAGCGTCCATTTCACTTTGTAATAGTTTGTAGGAGATATATAGTTAATCATATAACTACTTATTCCAGTTGATATAACGACTCAGTCATGACCACTTTCGGAGATGGAATTAGTTGAATCACAGCCTGACAAATGAACAGATAATAGAAGACAGAACACAACACTAGACAAAGTTCAGGTTTTCTCATTACAAAATACTTTTAAGCAAAATGTTGGGAAGGAAACTGGATCTGTTTTAGAGTTGTCAAAACAATATAGTGAACAGTGAGCTGTGGTGCTTTTGTCATTTATTGGCAAATGAAATTGAGAATCCACAGTTACTCTTAATTCTTGTTAGTAATGAGGATGGGACCATCAATGTTCATTTATTCATTCATTCGAGCGATATTGTGACGACGTTTTACACTACTTTGAACATGTATATCGTGGCGAGCAGAGATTTGTCAGATAACTATTGAGAAATGGAGACTATGGAACAATAGTTCGATTCTAGCTAGAGGCTCTTCGACTGTACTACCCATCAACAACTCACACAAAGATTTAAATCTACGACCTTAATGTTTTATGATAAGTCTGATATTTCCAAGTCAATTGATAAATCCCATCTGTTATGCGGTATGACACGATCTTCATCTTCACAACTAATCAGTGTTGAAGTGTACTTCGTAAATTCTTTTGAGAAGCATAAAACCTTTAAATTTCACTGTGTCGGGAGTGATGCTACTATTCCAATGACGACACAGTAAGGGTTTGTATTCTCCCGTCGTTGTTAACATTTATGATTGGTTGGTCTCCACTGATACGTGTGCATCCGGAGTGGATTACTCCGATAAGTTTTAGGAGTTGCAGGCACACCTACCTTGTCAGTGGCTAAGTGGATTCTACTACTAGCCATTATCTGATTTGAATCGTAATTTGAACGTTCTGCTTATCCATCGCCTAGACTAGATGGTGAGACTATAATTTATGTACGACCTTTGGACGACGCTAATCTGACCTCAAGAGTGTCCACCTGATAACTAGGATAGGATGAGAGTTATAATTTAGTGTGAGGAATTCGAATTCTGATTTACAGTTGATGGTTAAGGTTAGGAGATAGATTTAGAGTCTTCATCACGTATTGACATCAGTTATAATACCATGAATCTGTTTAGCCAGATGGATGAGTGAATTTCGCGCCAAAATCCGAGACCTGCTGTCTTATACCTGATTGGTTCTTCCATAAATTATAAGTTAACCTTCATTTCAATGGATTATAAATTGATAATCTAGTTATTATTTTGTAATAGTCAATAGAGGAACATCCTCGATGTTTGTCAAATGCATCGTTATTCTTTTTACATGAAACACTAAGATTTCACACTAAGTAGCTGGTTATTTCATGTTTGATTTATTGTTTTTATTTTATGGGTTATCATTGTTTGGTTGTAACACACAATTATGTGAAATGGAAATGTTATAAAACTATGTATTTTGACATATTCATTCAATTTCTCGCTATAATTGTAATCCTTTTTGAATCGTATACTTGCAGATCTGTTCGTGAGTCTTACATCAAATGTATTTGATCAATAGTAATAATAACATTAGTAATAATAATTGCAATGTCGACACAAGATAGTCTGGTTATAAGTGGACAGTTAGAAATATATCTCCGTAATACATGGATACCAATCAAAGCAACTTTGCAAAATGATGCTTTGGTTATTGAATTGGAACACACTCCAAGTATTTCTAGCAATCACCACGGTTAGTTTAAATTTGATGTGTTGTAAACGTTTTATTTAAGAGTTCAGGGAAAGATGAAAATAAATATTCGTTCACCCTATTTGTTTTTGTCTAAGTGTTAAAATGGGAACTTCCTCTTTTACAGTATATTCAGTTAGGTAGTGCACCATCCATCACAGTGGTATGCAAAATAAAATGATTCTTAATATCATTCTGTTCAAATAAGCAAATTAACGTTTGATAGATGTTTTGGGGAGGGGCAACTATTGTTATATCGTAGTGAAAATCAAATTATGGGTAACTTCCGAGAACTATTAATGGACTAATATTATATATATATATATATATATATATATATATATATATATATATATATATATATATATATAATTCCTGTTATATAACTGTTTAGTAACTAGATTATGGATATCTATATTCCTTTTATTATAAGCTTCATTTTGACTTATAGATTATACAACTTACTATTCTTAAATTATGTTCATTTTATTAATTGCCGTCTCCCACAATCACAGCCACATTTTGGCTAGATCTGGTGTAAATGTTATGTCCTATTTTATGATCTCATGAGGTCTGTTTGGCTTGTATATAAACCAAGTATGTTTTGAGTAGATGATTCGCATAGTGTAGGCTGCTATTGGTGTTCTGTATTCAACTGAAGTGAAGGTGACTTTCCTTTTTACTAGTTTCAGTTATGAAGGGCGAGTGCGTCCGCTCCACGGTGACTGATTTTGAGACATGTCACCCAGTGTATTCAACCACAGATAACAGTTGTAACACTGACCCCAACCACGTAGTCTGCATCAATCTACATGGTTCAGATAACCAGTTATTGACTGATGCCGTGTTTTGACTCGGTCGAGCCTAGATTTCTTCTAACCTACTCCCACATCAAAAAACATCGTCCATCCAGGTGGTTGATGATTATGGATACATGACGCATGTCCTAGCTACCTCAGTCGGTGAGAAATTACAACCCCGTCAACCGACTTGCCAACCTTTCCTAGTACCGTGTGGCTGACCTCAATATTATTCACTCGATAGTCCAAACATATACGGGCAATGCTCCAGAGATACCGATGAAAAGAAGCCTGAAGCCTACGGTTGTGTTCATCTTTCAAATACTATGTTTCACAGTAAAAGAGCAATACAAAGCGAATTGTTGTATAGTAAAGTAATTTTCAATTATTAAACTGCACTTATATTGAGTAGGGTCGGTAATCACTTTTAATCGACGCTTTTTCTGATGCCTATGAATAATTCCAACACTATGGGTAGACATTTTTGATTAGATAATGAGACAAGCTGATCTTCCATAAAATGCACAACCTTTTCCTTGAACTCTCCATAAGGTCAATTTTTGGAGGTTAGCTTTATCTCTTATGAACAGCGCTTGTGCGTAAATGTTCTTATTGTGTTTTGGATTTGTTGTTATGGTAACAGTATGACATTCGTTGTTGTAATACTACTTGTTCAGTTACTTATTTCTGTTATCCTCGTGGAGCATAGGTCACTGACAAGGATTCTTCAACCAACTCTGTCCTGTTCTTTCCTTTCCAGTTGTTCACAGGTGCTATTTATTCTTTTGATATCTACCTACAATTCCAGGCTGAATATGTTATTTGGTCTGACACGTTTCCTTTTTAATTGAGGATTCCAAGTTAGGGCTTGGTTCCTCATGCACTTTGGAAATTTCTGTAATGTGGTCTATCCAACTCCAACGTTTTCTCCTAATTTCATCTTCATAGTAGGTTATTTCTGATAGTGTCCGATCAAAGTATGTGGATAATCTTGCCTAAATGACTGATTATTACTACCTTATTTCTTTTCGACGATGGTTGCAATAGATCTCGTTAAATCGTCTCTGAACGTCTTTTTATCTACAGCCCTGAAGATATGTCAGTGTTGTTTCAGTCTTCTGATATTTTCTATGTAATTACTGTATTTAGTGCGTTATCATCTAAATTCACCAAAAGTCTGACATTAAAATACATAGAAGCAATTTGTTTCAATTATTTGTTAAAGTTTCTCTTGGATTTTGCTCAAGTCACAGAATTCAGTGTCCACGGTAAAGATAAATTAATAATGATTAGTTTGTCATCAATTCTACTGAGTTTTTATCCTGAGGGTAAATATATACTTTATAATTGAACGAATAAGTTTTCAAATGCTTCTTAAAAGGTTTAAAAGAAGAAATCGCGATTCGAAAACAATTATGACGTAAGAAAAGATTGGGTCAACCATCCAATTATGCTTTGTTCACTTGATATATTTATGCATTCAATGTTACCCAAACAGTACTGCAAAAATAGCTCATTTTAATATGAATCTCCAAATTTATGAAAATAATCTATTCCTACGGGCTTTACAGGTCATGTATTATTTTGTTTTATTCTATTGTTTAGCATAGCTTTTAAAGTACTATACATTCGACGTCAATTTCTAAAACTATAGATTGATGTTTGTCAGGGAACTAGTCAAAACTAAAGTAGTAAAGTGTTCGTTAAAATACCCTTAGTAACATACACTTTTGACTCCAGGATCTCATTGTCTCCAGTTTTTGCGGTTAGCATAATATTAGTGAACCACTAAGTTTGAATAAACTATACCATTAACCATGAAATTTGTAGGTTGTAGATCTGATCTCACAAAACGTTTCAAGTGTTCACTTGTAAGAAGTCTGAAATATGTTGAATGCTTCTCAGATTACTATGATTATTTCAGCTGATATTAATTTTTGACGGAACACATTTTTAAAACGCTATCTAATCGAGATATCGTTAAGTGCATGTGACGTATGAAGTAATAAAAAACTGCTTTCTAATTTAATTCAGATCAAGAATATTCTGTCTATTCATCATTATATGACTTCATTTTTTAATATTTTGATGTTGTTTTACGGCTGAATAGTCATGCAATGCGACTAAAAGTAAATGTTTATTGATCAAGAGAGATAAATAGTTAGACAGATAAATGAAGAATAAAAATGTCGAAGAAAGTCTATGTTTTACTAACGTTTGAATTAACATAATTCAAGCTGTTTTATATGATTATTAGCACATGATATATATATATACTTATATATAGTTGCAGATATCTGAAAATTTCAGTGAACATTTAAAACAAAACTATGTTAACAATCACCCGATAAATTTGTCGTTGAATTTCTATTATTTCATTTCGATTAATTTGTCTTGAACACACTGTCAGATTATGAAATTTAGTATTGTATTGTGATTGATATAAACTTAGAGTTCATATAACCCTCAACAAAAAGATTAACTCTGTTGTTATCAGCATACCTAAATTAACAATAGTTCTGAATTTGTATTGTTAATAAATGAAGTTATATTTATTACAGATTGGAAGACTAACTTAACTGATAGTTTTGACACTGTATTTTGTGAATTTTAGTACTTATTGAAATCATGAAGACATTCACGGTGCCACATGAATTTAAACCTGTGCTACTTGGCTCCTATATCATAAATATTACTAATGAGTAGCTCAAGTGTATCTTCCTATCATTTGTACAAAAGCGAAGTTCGTAGTTCTGTTACTAAAAACTAACTAATGTTTCAGACACTAACTTAGTGCTTACTGTGATTCATTAATAACATTTATGGAACCTCAAAGTAATGTACTCTTATTCACTCCGACAGAAAATACTGTCAAATGAATTTATTTAAATTTTTAAACTAAGTCATTATAATTCAAAGGAAGTCAGATTTACTACTATCAAATAAAATTGCAGTTCATGAAGTTTATTCAATGGGATATTCACTAAGTGAACCACTTTTAAAACTTATGTATGCATTTAGTTTGCATAAAAAATAACGAAGTAATATTGGAAAATTTTTCATATTAAAACAGAGTGGTGTTGGAATTTTTGAAAAAAAAAACTGAAAACTTTATTGGTGAAATATGGAGTAAGTAGTTTACAAAATCCACAAATAGTGAAGTTCCTGGAAGCATGCTGCTAAACAGAATTATTAAACAATAAATGACATATTCATGAAGAAAACTTGATTCAGTGAACCGTATTTCTTTCTTAATAACTTATTGGATTTCTTTAGTTAGTTCAGTAATTGTTATACTGTAATTGCAAACATTGAACTGACTTCTTTTTGACCAGTTCATCATATTCTTTTTAAAATTAAAATTAAACTCTAAGAATTAAGTTTATCAGAACGAATGTGATTTTGGAACTCTCTGATCATTTATTTCGTGGGTTGGTTGAGGTTAGACATTAGCACCGTTGGATGCAGGCTTAGTGGTCTAGACGTTAGGCGTTCGCGCGCGAGACCGAAGGCTCTGGGTTCAAGTCCCGCTAGCGGGGTCGTGGACGCGCACTGCTGAGGAGTCCCACAATAGAACGAAACGGCCGTCCAGTGCTTCCCGGTTTTCCATAGTGGTTTGACATCAATCGATTCATGATCTCAATTAAAAGACTAATAATCTTTACATCCCCATACTGACATTTATTTATATTTCAAGATTTTCAAACATGGATGACAAAGATCAAACTAGAGATAAAATGAAATATGTATTAGCTTCATATATTACAGTTTTAATAAAAATCATCTACTCATCGAAGTACTTAAATTTGTCAAATGGACCAATCGTTTTAAACCTCTAGAATTAAGCTTTAATTGAATGCTACTACCTTTGATAAATAGTTTTAATCATTTACTGACTTCAGTTGGAAAAATATTCAAAATCAAGAAATATCAGACTACTGTATCGTTTTAATTTGATACTTTTGTAGATGACAAAATGACCAGGTACATTTTTTAAAATGAACAATCTACACAATGCCTTTGTTTATGAACTATATTTATCGCAAATTTATTACAATCTAGCCTAAGTCAGAATAAATACTCAATCTTTATCATTCTTCACCATTCCTCTCATAATTTATACTATATGCTTATACATATTTTCTGTACCAGAAGATATTTCCACTGCAAAACGTCTGGTACGTATAACAAAAGAAGAACTAAATGGTCTAGGAATCAGTATTAAAGGTGGTAGAGAAAATAAGACACCAATTCTAATCAGTAAAATATTTAAGGTGAGTAAAAAAAATACTACCACTGCTGAATAATTATTTAACTAGTGTCTATTTCGCTGAGAAATATCACGGTAATATATATATATATATATATATATATATATATATATATATATATATATATATATATATATATATATATATATATATATATATATATATATATATTGGCGATGTAAAGTAGCATTAAAAATGACATTTTTTAAATATTTCAAAATCAGTTTATAAAAACTTCAGTTCTAAAGTAAATGAAGCACAAAGTAGCTTTTTATGCAGTCTAAAATGTATAATAATTCAAGTTTATCGTAAAAGAAGGAAGCGATCGCACACAAATGTACTTAAAACTTAATTTGATGAAACCAGTTGGATTAACTAATCTTTTCTTATTAAACAATTGTATCTTTCTAATTTTATGAATAATTTTTGTGTAACGTTAAATGGATAGTTAAAGTTATGTAATATTTCAGGAGTACTATCTTTTACAATAATCAACGAGTCATTCAAGTTAACCTATCAACGAATCGACTTATCAATGTAAGGAGCACGTAACCAGAAATGTTTCATCTTCAAAAGTTTTCAGTATAAAATAAGGAAGTAAACTATGCTTTTATTCACATAAATAGATATGTATAATTGTAAATTCAGATTAGGCAATTTACTCACGGCCGGTTGAACTCCTCCGGACTACTACAAACATGTTTTGCTTTCATTGACAAGTTTGTAGATAAGACTAACTTGTTTCATGAAATAATTTATAGTCTAAGAAGATGTAACCTGTAATTCTACATAATAATAGTACCGTTCTTAGTTCCGAGATCGATTTTAAATTTTCAATGTACGGTCCTAAATTATCAACAACTTAACAAGGAAGGATATACAAACCGGGAGACAGTAAGAGATCGATTGTATTACTTTTTTTATTATTTTTTATTAGTCCTCATGACAACTATTTACATGCCGTTTGAGAAGACAAAAGGAGAGGATATTACGTAATGACGTATACTTGTACGTACTGTAGAATGAGGCGGAGTAAAGATGATTAATGCAAGTTACTTAAAAAGCCGAGAACGTGTCTCTTGTTATTTAGGCCTCATGTTTTTTATAAATAAATATAATCTAAAAATAACCTGCTTCATACTGATTCCAAGTTGGTAATCAGTTAGTTTTGTCAACAACTGTAAATACGAGGTTACTAAATATTTGTATTATATTGAATTAATTAGTCGATTGATGATCTCAGTATGGCTATCCTGATGTGTGTGCGGATGTGTACACATATGTTTGTATACATGAAAGCCGTCAGGTGGTTGCATAAAGTAGTTTTGTTTACAAGAACAAATAGATCAGCTCTAAACTCATCAGAAAATATATATTGGTAATTCTTTTAGCTCTTAATTTTTCAGATAATGCATGGCATTTTAGTAAAATAAATATTTATTATTTCGTTTTCATTCACTGGATTCAGGGTATGGCAGCTGAACAAACTGGTCAACTGAATGTTGGTGATGCAATATTATCTGTAAATGGTGAAGATCTACGGAATAGTACACATGATGAAGCGGTTCGAGCATTAAAACGTGCTGGACGAATTGTTGAATTAGAAGTAAAACATATGCATGAAGTGACACCGTATTTTCGAAGGTAATTTTTCATAGTCATGATTACATTAGTTTTATACCATATTGTATAAAGTCAGTAAGGTCATTCAATACAACTTTGATCAATTAGTTTCTATTTTATATTCCGTAGACTTAAAGATAATTTTTCTGTTTTATTTATCATTGACTTAACAAAGAAATTGATGCTGAATGTAACTAAAAATGGAAATTTGGATATTGCTAAGTTCTAAAGTCTACTAGGAATCACTATGATTTTTAGCTCTCTTCATTTATGCAGTGTATATCAGAAAAAGAATATATATATATATATATATATATATATATATATATATATATATATATATATATATATATATATATATATATATATATCACAAATTGAACCAAACGTCATTTCGTTAATACTAGTGACTTATTTGAAATAGTTAACAGCAAGCAGTGAAATCCAAGACTCGCCTTTCGTCCTCCTTGGGTCTCATCATGCCGGAGTTAATGCTCACTCGTGACTCGAACCCAGTACTGTTCGCCCCATACTCTATCCCGTTATCCACTTGGCTATTGAGTCCAGACAGTCACCGACTCGTGCATTGGATTCAATTGCCGGCCATCATCTATCTCTGCTTAAAATGCTAGTAACTTACTGGCAATGTCGAGGTGACTAGCAAAAGATGCACATATAGCAAAAAAGACCTATCAGCTACAGTCCCAAACATCAGTGGGAAGATCCAAGCAACCAATATATGTGAATTAAAATTATGATTAAGACAAGTTGAAATTTGGAAACTGGATACATTTTCCAAATGTTGCTTCCAAAATTCGACATTTTCTGATTTCTTTGTAAAGTATAAGCCAACAAGTATTTAGACAAAGTGTAGGAGAAGCTGTAAGGTCAGGTGAATAATATAAGGCTGAGGGAATGAGTTTCTAACCTTATTTCTCATGATGAGTCATATTATTGTTATTAGTTTAGTTTGTTTACTCTTTGTTTCCTTCTGATTTATATGTCTTGCCAACAAAAATATTTATTTAGTAACTTCACTAATAAAGGTCTCGTCATCCGTACTCAGTCACAACCACATTAGATTTTAACCTTCAGATCACTGAGTTTCGATCCAACGATTTATATTCCTAACTTCAATCAGTACGTGATATTGCATCATCATCTATTACCATTGGTAATATTTATCTGAAACCTGACTTGGTTGAACTCTTACGGTCAAGACTTCTCACTAAAACATCAGGAGTTAGTTCTCGAGATCAGTAAGGTTTAAAGCTAGTTTTTTTCATGCACTGACATAAAATTAAGTTAATATTAAAAATTTGGAAGCACTGAATAGTTTCACACAATTTTATTGTTAAATACAATGCATTCTATACAAGTTTGTGACTATGGGCTTCAAACCTCATGATGGCAACATGTAATGGTGGACTGTTATGTTTAACACAATTAAATAACATAAGTTGGAAAATAAATATGGATAGAAATCATCATATTTTATAAACGGTTATTTGGTCTTTTGTTTGGAAAAGTAGATGGTCTATACTGTGAATGTGTGATTTTCTAAGAAATCCTCCAATAAATACCAATGTATATATATATATATATATATATATATATATATATATATATATATGCGCCATAGGTAATGTAATCAGTAATGCCAATCATTAACCTACATAATTAATTGCGGAGAGGAACTAATTTTGTAACTTATATGACTAGTTGTTTTTAGTGTACTTCCTATGTATTCGAACTTTAAGCAAGAGAGCTTAGGTCCTGGTTAACTTAACCAATGGAATTTCGGATTACCAGTTTGTTTGATTTTTATATCAACCTAGATTTTATCCAACTTTTTAGACTCCAATTATCTACTTAGGTTATCACTATTAGTATCAAAAATATAAATTCATTTTTACGAGTTAAACAAGCAGAATTTTATCAATTCTTAAGATGTATATCTTAAAGATAATAAGCACGTGACTGTCACTCGCTATCGAAAGAAAACGACAGTGTTATTGGGTGTGGGGGTTAAAGAAAAATAATAAATAGTTGGTTAATTATGTTGCTAAATGAGTCTACTGGTTGACAGTGAACAGTATCATGTTACCTGATCTTTAGTGATGATCCTATTTCATTGACCAGGTGTAAAATGTGAAAAATAAGTCTTATAACTCCATGTTGTTTAGAAAATATGTTTGTTGGTTTTAGTACTGATCAGAGATAACCTAGTTATTAGTTCAATCAATTATTCGGTTGTTTCTACTGATATGAAATTAATCCTAATGACTGTCGTTGTAAACAAATGTGAAGTTTTCAACATAACCTAGTCTGAGTTAACTTTAATATATAAAAATTGAAACACTGATATATGTAAAATAATATTCCTCCCAATGAATTTTTTAAGATTCTACATTAATATACTCAAGTTAATAAACCAAGAAATACCCATGTCTAAGGAAAAGTACATCGTTTCAACTTAAAGAGTACAGATTCGGGATTACTTGTAAAGTAAAATAAAATTGTTAATTTTGAGATGATCAGTATACGGTGTTAACTTGAAATTTTGGATGAATATAGATAATATACAATGAGATGATAGTGTACACATTCATAACCCTGCACGCAGGAATCAAAATAGAGACTTTCGGTTTATCATGCGAACACGTAACTTCTAATCTGCTTAACCACTGATGTGGGATTCAACGGTGTTAAGATAAGTTTAAGTTGTAAAAATACAAATAGGAAGGTTTTACCTACAATAATCAAATTATTTCATCATGTCATCAAAACGCTTGTTAACTAATTAAACCAGAAGTTCGTCAAGGTGAAGAAGGGGTTAAACATGTATTTTATAGATGCAAAACTCAGGTTGTTTGATGCGAATGTCTACCATTTCAGTCGATTTAAAGAGTCAGTCTGACAGATTTAAGTAGATGGCTATTAACACGATATATATTGCAATTGATTGTTTCATATTATCCATATGACCTGTTTATACTAAATTAGCTAGAGTCGAGACGTTAACAGTCTTAACTATGCCTTTACTTGAATATACTGGCAGGTGCTCTCAACAGCGAAAATACAAATCCTTAGAACCCCTGCAAATATATCTTGCCCCAGAAGAGGAGTTGCATAGATAGATACAGAGGTGGGTTGTCTAGGCAATTTAACTTTAAATCTCTGAGCAACCATAGGACGTGTAGAAAACATTTATTTCAGTTTCCCTTTATTAAAGGTTTTTTAAAATGCTCTGTGCACTAGCCCTAGCGTTTCGCTCAATGCATCACTTCTAAATTGTAGGCATATAAATAGTGACTTTCGACCACAGTTTCGACTTCCTTTCGCTGTATTTTCTTGGTTGATTTTTCAGATTTATCCAATTTGCAACAAAGCATTACTCAGCTTAGATATAAAAAACCCCCACTGTTTTGAGATCACTTAATTTTGATATGATTTGATTCATAGGTTACTTTATTTTAATTTGAAAATAGGAGTTTGATGTTATTCCTCTTAATTCACTTTTTTGTCAGTATCGAAACATAAGTAAGAGATAATAAGTTAAAATACATCAGTAAACTAACAAACAAGTAAATAAATGAATGTATGAGTGTATGGATAAATGATCTATCATTAAAACTGAAAAACACAGATACAACATGGTATATCATAAAAAGATTTATTGATCACAGATATAGAAACAAAAATAGTATTCAAAACGTCAGTTCACATAATCTACATTTGGTTTATCTCATTTGTTACTCTGGTAGCATAATATCCGAACAAAAAATTGGACATCGAATATAAAGTGAATATTATTATTGGTGTTAGTTGCAATTAGTAATGATAGTAGAATGAAGAACAAAATAATTTTATGCATCCAATTATAATTATTGATCATATGTAACGTCGGTACACAGATGCAGAATTATACTCATATACTTTTCTTTATAGAAGTTACATTTTGATACCCATAGGGTTAAGAGATATAATAATTATTATGGTATGACTTCTCATAAGTGGTGAATTAAATCAACCAATCAACGAATAAATGATGGAACAAATATACTTAAAAATGCCAGAACTATCAACAACTAAAAATATTCTTTTTTTTTGGCAATAAATCAACTAGAAACCATGATGATTAAATTGTTAGTTTTAAATTTTTTATTTGTTAAATCTTTCACTGATCAATGTGTAATAAAATAGCGTTTCATTTCTTTTGTTTTCATCTCTCAACATGTTGACTCATAAATTATTATTAATGTTATCCATAAAGCATATGAGAGCAGAAAAGAAAGCCAGAGCAAAGGAATAAAATAGAAAAGAAACTAATTCCTTTGTTCTTATTATGATGACTGATGATTATGTAGTGCTGTTTTGTTTTTAACTTGACTTTTGTTTTCTCATCATGAAAGAAGTTATGTCTAAAACTATCCCCTCCAGCTAACAATCTTTATTTACAAAGATAATGATGATAACCTTTCATATGATTAATTCTTTTTACGATTATTGTGTTCAACTGTTCGATCTCCCTCCCTTTTCCAAATTACACATTGACACACACGCATCTTATACGTATGGAGGCCTGGGTTGTTTATCGTTTTATCAATAAAGCAATAAAGAATATACATATCAAATAAGTAACCTAAACATTGCGTGCCCGCTGATAGCTGTTTTGTGATTTTCATTTGTTTGTTTGTTGTTGTGATTAGTGCTAACATTTCTTTCAGCAAACAATAAAAATATAGTACGCTGCATTAAATAATGAGTGAACAGTTCTTTATGATATACGTTTGTATGCTGATACGTTGAAATATTAGAAGTTTCTTTTTTTTATACACTGATCTACGTGGGCCATCCCATCCATTTACACTTATGAATCATGAGGTCAAAAGAATACATACAAGTGACACATAAGGGGAATAGATACATTAGAGTATAAATTGTTTATTATTTATCATTCACAGGCAGCTAGTTTTAAAAATAAATTTATAAAGCTGCAAAAAATATATGCTAAACAA